TACATACAGTTTATGAGCTTGAATATCATACTCATTTAGTAATGAATGCGTTAGTTTTTCTTTCTAAAAAAAGAAAAAAAAATACATTAGTTTTTTTGGTATTTGTAAATCTTTGACGTGAAATTCCTAACACATTATTTGAAATTTGACTATAAATCAAAATGTGTACGCAGATGCGCATATAAGCATTAGTCGTTTGGATATATATGTACGATCTGGAAGTATGTATACATTGTCATAAACAAAGGGATACATAAATGCACCAATATTGAAGTACGTTCGCGTGACCAACTGACCATACATAGACTAAGCAACAAGAAAGTGATTGTTTCAACTTGTTTTCTCCATCAATTACGCAATGCACCATTTATAACTCAACACACAATAATAATAAACTATTGATAAAAAATGTAAACCTTGGTTCTTTGACCATTAGTATTCGGTTAACAGGTTAATTAACCAACAAGAAAATGAAGTATTGTTTTTCAGTACATTTACGATAATTTAATAATATCAATAGTTGATCCAATCTATTATTTTTCTTTTATCAGATGATCGTGATCGATATCTCAATTTTATATTTAAGTAATCCATTTGAGATTTTTTTTTTCTGGTTCTTGAATAATTCTACAACATCACTTGGAATGCATTAAAAAAAAAACATTAACCTAAATAGAAAAAAAAAACAACTCGAATTGCATCAAGAATATATACTATGTCTCGTGTTTTCTTTCTTTTTCACCAATAAAATACGTAATCACTATAAATAATATTAGATTTAATCATATATCTCCGGCAAACCCAAGATGAAGATCCAACGACTTAATGCTTCTCTTCGAACCTGACGAACGAGAAGACAGATCTCTCTGGAAGTGAATCATGTTTTGTCGTACACCGTACATATTACCCATCTCATGACCACTTTGTTCATTAAGATCTTGACACGTGTCTTTATTTCCGAAGCTAATCTGCGACGACATAGACGACCAGTCCTCGTTGTACACACCCAACTGATTATTATTCACGTGCATGGAAGAAAACGCACAATACGACGGCGTTTTGTATGGTCTCTGAAACGACGTCGTTATTGGTTGTTGGTGGCTGGTGAGATAATAGCCGATGCTGGCTCGTCGTGCTTGAAGCTGAAGCCTCTTCTTCTTTAGCCTCTCCGTCTTGTGAGCGTTTTGGTGACCTCCTAAGGCTTGAGAATTTGCAAACTCTTTGCCACAGTATTGGCACTCGAGTCTTTTCACTATAAACGACGTTGTGTTGTTCGTGGACGAGCTCACGCTATCCGCCGTCGTGATTTCCGGCGAACGGTTACCGGTGATGAGTTCGAAGCCGAACAGCTTTATGGTCCTGTCGGAGGACGAGCCTGAGGAGCTTTCGCCTGTACGAGATATTGTGGGAGACA